TTGGCTGGGGGCCAGGGGGCCGCCTAGGGCCCCCGGTTTTATTACTTATTTGATAGGCATCGAGTTACTATAATATGACTTCATGTAGTCTATGCTTTCTAATGTTGAAATCAGCTTCCAAAACCAAAACATTTTGAATAAAGCAAGAAACAAAGAGTATGCAATGTACAGTAACAATCGAATTTATTTTCAAATCCTTATTCTTGAAAGTGAAATTATATATTTTGGAAATTTTGCATTAAATCTGTCAACCACGCTGTCATGGTCGAGGTTGCTTCACCTATCACGATGTATTCCAACCATCATGAGGCTATCTAAATGAGCATTTGTCATAACAGAACGCAAATTATTTTTAATTAGTCTCATTGAATTATTATTATTATTATTATTATTGTTGTTGTTGTGATGAAAAATTAACACAAACAATATGTTGGCTGAACGAACAATAATACATTATATTATGTAAATATTTTTTTTATTTGTTCCCTGACAAAATATATCGTCTTCACCGACGGGGGGGCTATGCTTCCCCTACAGGGGGCTATAGCACCCCCAGCCTTTCCCCCTGGCGCCACCACTGCTTCTAGTGCATCCTTCATGCATAAGTTTTTATCATGAATTATGGTATTATGTGCGTTATTACATGAGTAAATATATTACATTTATTCAGAATTTTCACAACAATTTACATATTACATATTGTTAACATAGGCATCAAAAGGTATACAAAACACCAAATATACAAAACATACAAACACAGAATACCAGGTCGCCCAGAACCCCCAGCACCTAACGGAAGGGAAAATGCCCCAATGAGCATCATGCAACAGTAATAATGCTGTGCACCATCAGACACCCCTCACAGTGTACTACCCCGAAAGTTGCCAGTGATCATGGGCGACTCTCAAGATATAAATTTATTAAAAAAGGTAAGGTTTATACATCTATAACTTACTCCAAACAAATACCAATAAATGTGTATTGTTCTTGTGAGTAGGATACTGGCAGATTAGAATATAAACTAATCATTTAATAAAGCATATTGTAACCATTAGATTTTATTATTATTATTTTATTATTATTATTATTATTATTATTATTATTATTATTATTATTATATTATTATTTTATTATTATTTTATTATTATTATTATTATTATTATTATTATTACTATTATAGAGTAGGGTCTACCTGCAGAGGAAGATAAATAACGGTGACATCATGAAAATGAAGACACAGAGAATATACACAGCTATCAGGTAGTCAGGTACTGATGATGATGCATTAACGTTACCTGGTGATGATGCATTAATGTCACCTGTAAATGACAAATTTATTTGAAAAAATAATGTAAACAAGCACTTGTTTTAAAATGTTGTTGTAAT